CCCTAGTTTTTCAGCTCTCTTTGACATCTTCTCCTGCTGTTCCATGAGGATAGGGGCTGTCTTTCTTTTTGCTTGCATTTGTATTCCCAGAATTTGTCAGAGTGCCCAGCAACGAGTAAGCACTCAATAAATGTTCTATCTATCTCCAGCTTATCGACATCTTTCTTAAACCACAGTGCCCAAAATATAACACAGTACTCAAAGGAAGTGAGCAGGGAGAGGAGGAGGGGAAAAGGATTTATTAAGCACCTACTACATGGCAGGCACTAAACAAAGCACTTTACAAATACCTCATTTCATCCTTACAACACCCATGGGGGGTAGGTACTATTACCTTCACTTTACAGTTGAACAAACTAATCCACGCAGAGATTAAGTGACTTTCCCAGAGTCACACAGCTAGTAAGTCTCTGAGGCTGGATTTTGAACTCAGGTCTTTGTGACTAGACTCTAGGTCCAGAACTCAATCCACTTCATCATCTAGTTGCCTCAGTAAGACTATAACCTCCTTATTGATGGAAGAAATACAGTGGATAAAGAGCTGGGCCTGGAGTTAGAAAGACCTGAGTTCAAATGTGGCCTCAAATTCTTACTAGTTGTGCAACCTTGGGCAAGTCACTTAACCTCTATTTGCCTCACCTTTTTCATCTGTAAAATGGAGATAATAATAGCACCTACCTCCCAGGATCATTGTAAAGATCAAAGGCAGTAATATTTGTAAAGCACTTAGCATAGTGCCTGACACATAACATGTGCTAAATAAATGTTTGTTATTATGATGATTATGATGAAAGTTACCCTCTAATTTAGCCTAAGATCATATTAGCTTTTGGGGCTACTATATAATACCGCTGATTCAAATTGAGCTTGGAGTCCATTATAACTTCAAGATGTTTTTAAGACTACTGTCTAACTATGACACCCCCTAAGAAGGGAGTAATAATACTTAACAATATATACTTAATAATACTTGTAATGCTGAATTTTTTTTGCACTGAGAAGATGAAAATTGATCCTTTCATAATTTTCTAATTGATCCTATGTATAAGTAATTGATTTTGCCCTGTAACTGCTTAAGTCATGGTTCTTTGTCTCTGAATTTAGTTTAGAGTTTAGCTTGCCTGTAATGGGTTAAATTTAAAAATCCATCTATTCTTGCCTCAAAGAATTTTGCTAACCTTGGGAAATGAGTTTGAGCCTGATGTCTTTCTTTCACCAAGCTATCCTTCAAGGATGTCTGGCTTGCTGTCCAAAAGACTGGGCTGCTATCTCACACCTGCACTCAGACAATGAGCACTTCTTAGTCTCATGAGAGAAGAAGGCGGTGGTTGCTAGCACTCACTGCCTAACTTCCAAACAATCATGTTATTCCCTTGCTGTTGTTGTCCTTGTCTATAAACAATCATATTACCTTTAATTACATGATGTCATCTACCCCACTCTTCTTTGTTCTATACTCCCTAAAACCCTGCACAATGTGAATTACCCTCTTGCTCAGGGTCTTTGGCATTAACAAAGGCAAGCCACTGACCCATTTATTGACAGGTAGCATGCCCCTGCAAATGTTATCTCGCACAAAGATTGGCCTCAATTTACCCTTTTGTTAAAATTATATTGAAAAAGTACTCAAATACAACACTTTACATTTATCTCTATTCAATTTCATCTTATTTGATTCATCTCATTGCTCTAAGCTATCAAAATAATTTTAGATATCATATAAATCACTGAAAAAAATGTTAAACTACTAGAGTCAAGCACAAATTACTGGAGTACTCCCCTGGACACCTCTTATCATGGTAACAGTAAAGTATTAATAACTGTGAGTCTAGACAGCCAACCAATTCTAAATCCATCTGGTTGTATACTTATCTAATCTATATCTCTAAGTCTTCTCCACAAGAATAACTGAGACACTTTATCAAATACTCTCTAAAAATCTAGTTAAACACTATCCAAAGCATTCCCTTTGTATAACAGTTATAATAATTCTATCATAAAAGGAAATTAGGTTATTCTGGCATGCCCTGTACTTGATGAAGCCATGCTGGCTCTTTGTAATCACTGCTTCCCTTTCTAAGATAACTAATCATCTCTTTAATGGACTCTTCTAGAATTTTCCCAGGAAGGCTAAAGTGCAAAGACAAAGTCCCAATTCAGCAATTAAAGAGGGAGAGATGAGTAAATAAGAGGTTACAGACCACCATAAAGAAGTATAATACATCCAAAGACATGCAAAAAGTCAACCTGGAAAGAAAAGTAAATCCCTTACAACTGTAAGCAGATACTAAAAGGAAAAAAAAAATTTATTCTACAAGGACTAACATGAATACTTAGAAGAAATGAAGCATGGGATTAAAAAAAAAACAAAAAGAAAAAAGCTCAAAGGAAATAAATGGAAGAATACGTAGAATAAAAGAAAAAGTGGTAAACCTTACCCAAGAAATGGGTGATCAATCAAATGATCAAACAGAAATCAATGTATCTTTGAGACAAGAGACATTAGAACAATATCAAAAGACTGGGGAAAAAACAGTAGAAAATGTAAGAAAGATTTCAAAAATAAGTGACCTGGAAAGGTCAAGGAGAGATAATTTAAGAATCAGAGTCCCTGAAAACCATGACAAAAACTGCTAAGATTTGTTGAAACCACAAGATGAAGTAAAAACAGAAATCATCCATCAATCACCTCATGAAAGAAATACCAAAAGAAAAAGTCCCAAGAATGTCATGGCAAAAATCAAGAGGTTCCATGTCAAAGAAAAAGTGCTACAAGTCATAAAGCAAAAGTTCAAATACTAAGGAACCACAATCAGTATCACATAAAAACTGTCTTCTACTACAAACAAGAGGAGATCCTCAAATAAAATATGCCAAAAAACAAAGATGAACATAATCTGACAGGGGGAAAAAATGAAGCTTCAATGTAATGGAATACTTTCAAGTACTTCCAATGAAAAGAGAGTGCTTAGCAGGAACTCTGAAATGCAAAATAACACTTAAGAGAAACCTAGAAAGATATATTTATTTGAGCAACAGGAAGGTACAATATGATGATATAATGCTAACATGTTAACAAGGGGAGAGGAAATAAGTTTCCCTTAGAACCTTACTATGTTCAAAGGGTACAGAGGAAGTTAAAATAAGAAAAAGAGATAGCAAAGGGGTTGACTGGTACTATTGTGAGGGACTGAAGAAGGGAAAGACAGGAAGATAAAAGGAATGCACTATTGTAGAAAGGAGGAAGAAGAGAGTAGAACTTCTTATTTCTCATAACTGAGGTATGTGAGACTATAAAAACATAAAAGAAGGAGTTGAGGGAAGTGGCATTAGGTGAACCTCACTCTTATCTGAACCAGACAAAAGAATGTCAAACACAGACACAAAGAGATTAGGGTAGAAATATACTAAACTCAACAGTGAAAAGTGCAGGGGTAGGATGGAAGAGTAGACATTAACAGGGAAAATAATTCTGTTAAAGGAACAATCACGAGCAAAATAAACTTCTTTATCTTGAAGGGGAGATTAAAAGGAAATAAAGCAGGCCTGCACAATCTGCAGCCAGTGGGCTGCTTACAGGCCGTTTGCAGCACGCCAAAAGATTTCCTCTATATACAAAGGATGTTTTCCTCTACATTTTTTTGTGGGCCTCCCAAAATCCTTTGGCATGCCACAGGCGACCCTCAGGTCACAAGTTGTGACAGACCTAAAATACAGGAAAGAGAAAAGAAAGAAATTGGAATCTAAATAGGTACCCATCAATCAAGGAATGGCAGAACAAACTGTGGTACTTAACCAACTGTGCTCATGGAATACTATTGTAACATAAGAAATAACAAAAAAGACAATTTTAGAGAATTCTAGTAAGTAGGAAGTGAGGCAATGAAGTAAGCAGAACAAGAGATAGACAATAATTTATACAACAATTATAAAGAAAAGCAACTCTGAAAAATTTAAGAACTCTAATCAAAGCAATGACCAATCACGTCTCCAGAGGCACTACGAAGAAGCATGTTACCCACCTCCTGAGAGTTGGGGGATGGATTCAAGGTGTTGAAAAAAGATATGCATTTTTGGAAATGGCAACTATATGTAGAATAAATATTTTTATTTGACTATGTTGATCTGTTACAAGAATGTTTTGCTTGTTTTCTTCAATTTTTAATTGGGGAGGGAATTAATAGTAGTAGTGGGGAAAAAAAAGATGAAAAGAAAAGAGGATCACTGAATCATTTTTAAAAGTGCACAGAAGAGTACAGATGGAATTTCAGAAGGGAGCATACACAAACAGGACAGTTTTGAAACAAATAGGCTGAATTTTTTTTGCACTTTTTTTTGTACATTTTTTGTTTGGCATTCAAAATCCTTCATAACCTAATTCCCACATAACCATTCCAGTCTTCTTCTGGGCACTCTGGCTATCCTCTAAACCTGGAATAGTCTCCCTACTCATCTTCACCTCCTGGCTTCCTTTAAGTCCCAAGTAAAATCTCAACTTCTGCAGAAAATCTTTCTTAATTCTAGTCTCTTCCCTCTGCTAATTATTCTCTATTTGTTTGCTTGTTGTCTCCCCCATTAGACTGTGAGCTCCTGGAGGGCAGGGACTGTCTTTTGACTCCTTTTGTATCCCCAGCATTTAGCACAGTGCCTGGTCCATATTAAAAGCTTAATAAATGTTTGCTGACTAACCAATAAACAATAACTTAATTATCACAGCAGATTTAAGAACTAAGAATAAATATTTTATACACAAAGTAACATTAGGCTTGGATCTCAATTCATGTATAAATAAAAGAGTTTCAAATATGTTTACACATATTTCAGTGAATCTATGATATCGCAGATTTTCCCTGAATTCTTATACAGCACATCCTATCCACATATTTTCTTCAAATGCAATTGACCACGTTCACTAAGAGATCTTTCTGAGATCTTAAATATCATTTTAGATACATTTTTCCAAGTAAATTTATATACACATACACCCAGTTATAACTTACCAAAGAATTCTTTATCACTTCGCTCCTATAAAATTCTAGAAAAAGAAAGAAAGAACAATTAGTGGTGAAGAAGAAAACAAAACCTTTACTATACTCTCTAACCTATAATCGTTTTATCTAGTAAATATTCCAATTAGTAAAATGCTTTAAACAGTTTTTGGAGAGGTCAATTTGCATTCTCTCACTATCCCCAGACACCCAAACTTAGACATTAGAATTTTATAACAGTATTAAAAAAGGAATTAATCACCTGATCAATAGTTACAGCAGTTAAGAGTGAAAGAATTTTAAATTTTATTTTTAAAAACTTTTAATAAAGATTTAGTTTAATAAAATAACTGAAATACACTGCTCTGTGATTTATTAAGTGCTTTCCATACATAATTTTCCTTTATCTTCTCAAGTCAACAAGGTAGGTGATAAAAATATTATTATTCCAATTTTACAGATAAAGAATTTAAAGCTCAAAATCACACAAGTATTGGAGTCAGAAGTAAAATCCAGTTCTTATAACTTACTAGTCTTGTAATATGACAGAAACAGAGACTGGACCTGTGATTTCTTTAGACAGGAACCTCCTACATGAGGGAACTCCCCACACTAACACAGGTCAATAACTCCCAGGCAACTTATAGTCAGAGAACTGCCTAACCAAAGATGTCACATTCAAAGGTGTAGGGATAGGGGTGGGGAGACACTAGATTAAAATATTATGGGAAATATTTAACAAAATAAATAAAAATACAACATAATGTTAATTAGTGGTTTTCTGTGTCAATATATAGCCAGTAGAGATCTTTCCTATTTGAGTTTGACACCACTGACCTAGAGCACTGAAAGGCCAAATAACCTATGTCTTACTGAGACCACTTCTCTATACACTGTAACATGCTACATCTCATATAAGCATACATGAAAATCAGCCCTTCTTTGTACTGCTTTCATAAATTCTATTCTTACAGAGCCAGACATACAATATAACATATATAGCTATAAGAGAATATAAAAGCATAATTAGCTATAAAGCATACAAAAAATGACAATGGACTGAAGTCAAGATCCATGGGTTCTAATTCTAGATGTACTTATTCTATGACCTTGAACAAATCATGTAATGACTTTGGGTCTCAGATGAAAAAAGTTAACTACATTTGATCTCAGTGACTGGTCCAAAAGTTACAGAACCTACATAAATAATTTCTAAATTAAGTGTTTTTTTCTGCATCTTGCCAATAATATTCAACTAGAAGCAATAGAAAAAGAAATCTCATTCAAAAATAGCTTTGAGGATGAGAAAATATTTAGGAGTCTATCTAACAAGACACAAGCAGAAATAATATGAATATAGCTAAAAACACTCTTTACATAAATGAAGACAGACATGAACAGCTGGAGAAATATTCATTGCTCAAGGGTAGGGAATATCAACATAATAAAAATGACAACACTGGTTAAATTACTTATGCAATGCCACACAAAAAAATAGCAAAGTATTACTTTATAGAGCCAGAAAAAATAATAAGAAAATTCATTTGGAAGAATGAAAAGAAGCAGAAAAGGAGAACCAGATCTCAAACTATACTACAGAGAACTAATCTTCAAAACAATTTGGTACTGGTTAAAAATTAGGTCAATCAATGCAATAGATTAGATACACACTAGACAGAAAATAATGTAGTAGCCTAGTGTTTGATAAATATCAAAACCTCAACTACTGAGTAAGGGCTCAATATTCCACAGAAGTTGCTGGTAAAATCAGAAAATTAGTCTGGCAGAAATTAGGTATGGAACAACATTTCGCCATCTCAACCATCTCACATAATATATCAAGTTAAGTGCTATATGGATATACAACTTAGACACAAAAGGCAACATTATAAACAAATCAGATGAATAAGGAAAAAACTACCTTTCCAATCTGTGAACTGGGGAACAATTCATAACCAAACACGAGATAGTTTCACAGAAGATAAAATGGGAAATTGTGATTGTGTTAAATTTTAAAGTTTTTGCTCAAACAAAACCAATGGAATTAAAATTAGAGGAAATACAATTAACTAGGTAAAAAAAAATCTTTGCAGTAAGGTTTTTGACAAAGATCTCATATCCAACATACATAATGAAATGATTCAAACTTGTAAGAACAATATCCATTCCTGAATTGATAATTGATCAAAAGACAGAACAGACAGTTCACAAAGGAAGAAAACCAAGCATCAATCACCACATAAAACAAAAGCTGAAACAATGCTTAAATTCTACCTCCTACCCATTAAAGTGGCAAAAATGACGGAAAAAAAAGGTGATTTTTGAAAGAGCTGCAGGAAAACAGACATTATCAGTCTAGCTGTTCTGCAAAGCAAATTGGATCTTATATCCAAACAGTCACTAAAGTGGACATACTGATGCGGTAATCTGTTACTAGGTCTCTACCAAAGAGATCAAAGAAAGAGGAAAAGGACTCATATTTATGATAGCACCTGTCTTTGTTACAGCAAAGAATTATAATTAAAGGGGTGTCCATAGATCAAGGAATGCCTGGAAAAATTATGACATATGAATGTTAATGACATACTACTATATCGTTAGAAATGACAAACGAGATGTTTTCAGAGAATCCTTATGGAAATATTTATGATGTAATACAAAGTGAATCGAATAGACCCCAGAAAACACTTTATACAACAGTATCGTAAAGCAGCAGTTCTCTCTAGACCACTTTCAGAACTATCGTAAAGCAAAGGGCAGCTAGGTGGCACAATGGATAGAGTGCCAGGCCTGGAGTCAAGAAAACTGAACTTCCTAAGTTCAAATCAGGGTGCAGACACTTAACAGCTCTGTAACCCTGGTCAAGTCACTTAACCCTGTTTGCCTCAGTTTCCTCATCTGTAAAACAAGTTGGAGAAGAAAATGATAAACCACTCCAATATCTTTGCCAAGAACACCCCAAATGGGGTCATAAAGAGTCAGACAGGACTGAACAACAATTGTAAAGAAAAACAACTCTGAAAGATTTATGCATTCTGATCAATGCAATAACCAACTACAATTCCAGAGAACTGATAATGAAACATGCCACTCTCCTCCTAAAAGAGAAGTGATGAACTCAAGATGCAGAATAAGACATACATTTCTGGACATGGCCAATGTGATAATCTGTTTTTCTTAACTATGTATTTTTGTTTCAAAGGTACTATTTTTATTTTTTGTTCAATGAGGAGCAGGAAATGGAATGTTGGGGGATGAGAGAAAGCAGATTTTTCTAAAAAAAAGAAAAAGAAAGGTTCTTGAAGTTATTGGGGAGAGGGGAAAGTACACAATAGGGAATGGAAGAAAGTCCAGAAGGAAACATAAACAATCAGAAGAGCCATGAAAATCATATGTTGAATTTATTCTTTTATTTTTGAAGGAAACTATACATATTAGAGAGAGGTGATTTCACATATACCCTTTCTGCTCTACATTGTTTTTGGAAATATTCTGTTTCTGGTGTTTATTAAATTCGGTCAAAAAACATTTTAAAGAAAATTTACATTTTGAATTTAATACTTGAAAGGGAAAACAAGCTATACCACCAGATCTGAAATTTCTGTTCTACTTTTTTTTTAAAGCATTAAAAAAAATTAATGCCTCCTTCATCTCACCCATGAAGAAGTTTGAAAGTACTACGGAATCAAAGAATTTCTAAGCTGGAAGGGGATATCTCAGTGGCCATCTAGTTTAAAACAACCAAAAAGGAATCTCTACTCTTGTATGGCCACCAGGTAATCATTAAATTCTTCCAATGAAGGGGAATCCAATAATTCCCAAAGCAGTCCATAAATTTTTCAATAATTCTCTCAAGCTAATCTTTCTTAATATCAAGCCTATATCTGCCTTTTTTGCAATTTTCACCCATTGCTCCAATTCTGCCCTACTGGGCTGAACAGACAAATCTATTATCTCTTACACATGGAGACTCTCTTAGGAACCTAAGGTAGCCAACCTAAATACAAATAATTGAATAAAATAAATGGCTGACCTGATACAGTCAAGAGTTAAAAAGGTTTATGTAACGTAGAATGATACAGTTGTAAAACACACATCAAGGATTCATGTTGACAATCCTGATGAACTTAAACACTTCCTATTTTCCTTTTTGTTATTGAGACAATGCTCTTTCCAGAGTAAAGAATTCACAAGGTCTTAGGAAAAATCTATCCCCCCACCCCCACCTCTACAATTTATGTTCATGTGGATGCCAGAGGATTTTTCATTATGCATAAAAAAAAGCCTTTGTACTCTAGCTGACCACTGGGCAAGGGGTACTGGGCAGCTGTATTCCCAATTTTCCACATGGCCTCTATTTCTAGTGGCCCTACAGTATAGGGTCTTCCCCATTTTAAATTCTATCTGCTCTCTTCCTTACAATGGTCCTTGAAATACCTGAAAACTGCTATAGCTCCCAGCTCACTCACTCCCTGGACTGCTTCACCTCCTCAGGAACCTTTCCCTCACCATGGGATGACTCTGCCTTCCCTAGGGTGTGCTGTCCCGACAGATGAATCCCTGGCTTCTATCACCATTTTTCTTCTTTTAAATTCAATTTTATTTTCAGTTCCAAATTTTCCCCCTCTCTCAAGCTCCTCTCCTACCCACTGAGAAGACAAGAAATGCAATATCCATTATACATACAAAGTCACACAAAATGTGCTTCTATTTTAACCATGTTGGGGGTGGGGGAGTGGGGTGTCAAGAACAATAGAGTGAAAAAAAAATTCTTCAATCTGCACTTAGACTTCATCAGTTTTCACTTTGGAGGTAGATAGTATTTTTCATCATGAGTCCTTCAGAACTGTCATGGGTCACTATACTGATGACAGAAGCCAAGTCATTCTTAGTTGATCATTATTACCATACTGCTGTTACTGTGTACAATGTTCTCCTGGCTCTACTCACTTCACTTTGCATCAGTTCATGTAGGTCTTCCCACATTTTTCTGAAACCATCCTGCTCATCATTTATTAAAGCATAACAGTATTCCATTACAATCATA